AAAAAAAAGAATGTTTTATTAATTTTAATTAAAAAAAAACTAGAGTGAATATGTTAATACCCAACAAATATCAAAAGCAAAGGGTACGGTTAACATCTTTTTGTTGTCTTATCATACAGGATTTGACRTTAGAAAAAAAAAACATTATTATAAACTATTATTAAATACATTATTACATATGTTTTCTTTAAATACAATTTTTTTATTAAAAAAAAAAAGGTATTTTTAGGTCATAGCAAAAGCAGTTACCAAAAAAGTAAATGCTGTCAATTGAAAAAATATTTTAGTCCTATGATTTTTAAAGGTTATCCCAACAAGAAAGAGGTTCTTGGCCAAATTAGGGTCCACATTTTTGTTTCCTATAATTTTCTCCACAACTAGACCATGAATCCTCTCTCCTCTCTCCTCTCTCACTCATCCACCAACTCCAACTTATATATATCAATCTTGATCTTAAGACTTTGGTAGCCCTAAGCCAAGCAATTCCCATCACAAAAAAACAAAAAACCTAATGTTTTTATTAAATGAAGAAAAAATACTTGACTATTATACCAATCATTTTCCAAAAAAATAAAGATAATATAAAATTCTATAATTCTATATTGAATTCCAAAATTTCTAACTCCAAAAATATTTTTTGCCAAAATGAGCCTAGCTCAGCGGTAATTGACATATACCTCCAACCAATAGATTGTGGGTTCGAAATAGATTCAAGGACAAAACTATAACTTAACCTTATTTTATTAGCATATTTAGACATACAAACATACCACTGGGAGAAATAGAAATAGATTTTTGTTGTTGAGACAAGATCGAGTAGCATCTGAGTCACATGTTTTACATGTCCTAATTATGTTAATAAAATAATAATTTAATGTAGTATTAACAGAATTTTTAATAGAAGAATATGATCGAGAATTCTTAAAACATTTAGGTTTTAGAATTGAGAATTTTAAAAGATTTTGAATCAAATCAAAATAATACTTTGCTCAACTAACATTAATAGGCATCTCTACTAGAGTATAGCATTCCAATTTCAACTCTAACGTTTGCAATATTCTAAATAAATAAATAACAAAACAGTCCACGGTAAAAAAAAACTTTATTYATGCTACATATGATAAACAAAATACAAAATTAATAAATATTGCCACCTCATTGCAAAATTTTATGTTACCTTTTCCATCAATCAACTTAACCAATTAACCATGTTTTTTAATCATTTTTCAAACCTATGAACTGATCTCAAGATAAATAGATATCAAATTCAAATTTACCTTGATTGGTTCAATTGTTTATATATCTCCAACCAAAAATCGTATGTACTGAATAAAAAAAATCTAAAAGACAAAAAAAAAAAATGTATATATATATTAAAGAAAAAACTATTTTTAGAAGTAAAAAAATGGAGAGAGAGAAAAAAATGACCGGGGTTAGGTGAGTGRTTAAATTGCGCCAAAGTTTTCCTTATAAAAAGGGGACCAGAGCGTCCTTGGTGGTTCGCTGTACTCCATCTTCTCTGCTTCACCAACCAAATTCCACTAACTTACACCGTTTTCTCCCTCCCTCCTCGAGCCATGCCCGTCGACGGCTCCTCAACTTCCGCCGGAACCGTCTGCGTCACCGGCGCCGGCGGCTTCATTGCCTCCTGGATCGTCAAGCTCCTCCTCGAGAAGGGCTATATCGTCAGAGGAACCGTCAGAAATCCAGGTTTCTTCATCTTCTCGATCGCCAATATGAATGTTACGAAACAATAATGTCGACGAATTATCGGCGGAAATGATCTTTTCTCGATGGATTTAGGTTTTGATTAATTTGGAGTTGTTTTTGTACTGGTTAATTTTGATTACCAGACGATCCGAAGAACAGCCATTTGAGAGAACTGGAAGGTGCGGCGGAGCGGCTGAGTTTGCATAAAGCCGATCTTCTCGATTTCGAGAGTCTGAGAGCGGCGATCGATGGCTGCGATGGCGTTTTCCACACGGCCTCGCCTGTGACTGACGATCCGGTGATATATAATTTTCTCTCGTTCGCTTTCGCTTTCGTTTTCTGTTTGGTTCCTGGGAAAATTAGAATTGGAGGAAAATGGAAAATCCTCGGAAGATATAGCTTATTTTTTCGTGCATGTGATGCGATGCTTTCACACATTCATATTCATTAGTGGGCTGGCTCCTGTTTTTTGGTTTTGGTCCTCACTGGGCCCCACAAGCAACCATCATATCATGCCCAAACAAGTAATTTTAATTATGATTTATGAATCTTTTAACCAATTTTAAAACTTTTATATTTTAAAATGTTTATTTTCATCAGATAAATTAAGATCTATTCTAGTTTTCAAGGTTYAAAAAAAATAATTAATAATTTTTTCTAATATAACATATGGAATAAAAATTAGAACTAACAACCCTCCAATCGAAGAATTCAATTAAACTATATTCAGATAGATTTAAAAATGATTACTAATTGGATTTTTTTCCTTTTAAAAATATGCTGATTCTACTTCTAACTAAAATATTTATTGCGGTTGATGGTTCTTCTTCGTCCACCTACTCCACCATCGTTGAATTAAAAGATAATTATTGAATTTGAGCTTGTTTATTGGATATTTATTATAAATTTTATATTTTTTAAAATTCGAGAATCCAAAATTGGGAGTATATAGATAGATATATCAAACATTTCTAATTTCTCTTTTGGTTTGGGAAATTAGATACAAAATTTGTAATTTAATCGATCGAGATAATACTTGATCGGAAGGATGAAATTGTCCTTATGATCGATAAATATTTACAATTAAGAGAAAAATAAAAATAAAAAAATTTATAAAAATGAATTTGTTGTCAATTTTTTTTGTTTACAAATTCTTATTTGGTAGTTATTTTGTGTGTCGTAATTCGTGAATGATTTTCCTCTTTTCCTTTTATCAGAAGGAACTAACCATCCATTAAGTTGGTAAAGTAATGGAAATGGCGGTTGTGTTGTTGTTTTACAGGAGCAAATGGTGGAGCCGGCGGTGAACGGCACGAAGAATGTCATAATCGCGGCGGCCGAAGCCAATGTCCGTCGCGTGGTGTTTACTTCCTCGATTGGCGCAGTCTACATGGACCCCAACCGGGGTCCAGACGAGATCGTAGACGAGTCCTGTTGGAGCGATCTCGAGTTCTGCAAGAACACCAAGGTTCGATTTCCCAACAATTACGCTCTAATTGAAGCATTCCAAGACATTTGCGAATACATTCCATTCCTAGCTAATTTCTGAATCGATCTGGATTTTTCAGAATTGGTACTGCTACGGGAAAGCTGTGGCGGAGCAGGCGGCGTGGGAGGTGGCGAAGGAGAAGGGGGTGGACTTAGTGGTGGTGAATCCGGTGCTGGTGCTGGGGCCATTGTTGCAATCCACCATTAACGCTAGCATAATTCATATACTCAAGTACTTGACTGGATCGGCCAAGACGTACGCCAATTCGGTTCAGGCGTACGTGGACGTGAAGGATGTGGCTCTAGCGCACATTCTCGTCTACGAGACTCCCTCGGCCGCCGGCCGGTATCTCTGCGCCGAGAGTGTGCTCCACCGGGGAGAGGTCGTTGAGATTCTGGCCAAGTTGTTCCGGGAATACCCTATTCCTACCAAGTAAGTTTTCTTCCTTATTCTGTCTCTTTTGTCCGTTCAATTGATACACAGTAATGGTTTATAATATAAATAACTGTCTTATTGTCAATGGAACTTCATTCATATAATATAGTATTAAAATCAGAGCATTCGATACAAAAATAGGATCTAGCTAAGATTGATGAAAAAAAAACACTTCTTAAAACTCTGATTCATTGAGTCTATATATTAGTTTTTGTTCCTGAAATAATACAGAATTAGAGTTCACTTAAATAATATACCATTAGAGTGTGAGGTAGGTGTGACAGGAATTTATTAACATAAAATTAAAAGTTGCCTATTAGACACACTCAGTATAAGTTTTAATTTATCACCAAGCATAAACTCATTTAATTGATTGAAATACTAAAGATGAATGGTAAATTTTAATTGTAAAAATTATGCTTCTATTTCCGTTTTTGAGGGCATAGGCAAGTCTATATTCTGAGTTTATACATTATCCTTTTAATTGGAAAGACTGGTTTCAGGTTTGCTTGATATAATCTAGATTATCCAGGGATCATTTAGGTTGTTTTGATGGCCCAAATTTGAAACTAGCTAGATAGCCTCCGATTTCAACAACATAGGACAATTACAAAGGGTAAATCATCACCACACAAGAATTGTAATAAACAAACTTATCTTTTAAAAACCTTAAATTAAAAATAACATAATTATCAAACGTATCCTTAATTTTTTTATTATCTATGGAGGCAGAGTAAACTGCACGAAATTTAACAGGCAGGTTTTGAAAGGAACTGGTATGTGTTGGAATTTTCTTGGGGTTAAGTGGGGTGTAGTAGGTATACCAACTCTGATTAATTGATGATTAAACCCCCTAATCTGAATTTCTAAAAGAATTGATTGGACAGAGATGACTGTTTGCTAATAAACCAAAGAATATTCAAATATTATACCTGTGGAGCTACAAGCTTCCCACCAAACACCTCCCTACTGATCCTTATCACTTCATGTTGGAGTTGGACTTCCCAATTATCTTTCATTGTGGTCTCCACCCTCCACCAACTGAACACTTGTCTAGTTTTCTCTCTGTTTCCAAAGTCTCGAGTGAAAGTCTAAAATTTGGAAGAGCTTTCTTAGCTGATCAAGGGCATGTTTGACAGTGTTATTTTCTAAATCACTTATATTTCATTGTCAAACATTAAAGCATGTTTGAAAATGATTTTGGCACAATCAAAATCACTTTTGTCATTGCTAAAATCACTCTCATTTAAAATAGTAATATTCGTCCCTGAGATACAAGTGACTTTAGAAAACRACAAAATGATTCCCAAAATATTTCCCTTTCTATTTCATATTTGGTTACTTATTAAAAATAGGTTGAAGTATTAGTTAGATGAAGTAGAAGACCCGGTTAATAGTATGTTTTGTTGTTGTAAAAGTGGTATTATGGAAGTTTGTTGCTAGTTGTTTTATGTAATTGAGGTTTGTTTGTTATACGAATTTAGGTGCTCAGATGAAGTGAACCCAAGGAAAAAAGCATACAATTTCTCCAACAAGAAGCTGAAGGAGTTGGGATTGGAGTTCACTCCAGTGAAGCAGTGCCTATACGACACCGTTAAGAGCCTGCAAGAGAAAGGTCACCTCCCAATTCCTACYTGCACTGAACCAGCAGAATCCATTAAGATTCAATCTTAGTCTTCTCTTAGTTTGGAATATGTAGAAATAAGCTCTTAATATGTTTCAATGTTGTCGTCACAAGTTGTTTCTATTTTGAACAATATGAATGTGACATGTAAGCAAGTTTCTCTTCAAAAGTTTAATCCAAAATTTTTATCCATATGTGATTGATCATGGTCATAACTTGAGTTGATAGGACTACCCCGAACATGTTTTTGAGAAAGTTTGGTGCCTACCCCATGCTTATAACCGCTCATAGTTATCATAGCCTGTTAAATTATCATATGCATTTAACATTGTGTCTAATAGATCAATGGACGTTAAAACGTATCTAATAAGTTTTAAAATTTGTTTTTTTAGTCTCATAAGTCCAACTTTAAAAGATTCAATGCTTTTTGAAGTTATGGAACTTATTAGATATCAATATTAAATTGAGTTTTTTTATCCGACAGAATCTTACATTTTTTTATTGTGTCTAGTTAAGAAAAAAATGTCAAATAGGTCATTAAATACAAAATTGAAAGCTATGATCATTAAATACAAAATTGAAAGCTATGATGTTTATTATACTTTTTTAATTCAAATGTAACATTTATTTTATATTTTAAATAAAATATTATAATTTAAACTTTCAATCTCTAGAAATGTTATTAGTTTTTTAGTCATTGAGGCTAGCTTCTTTTTTTGTTTCTTTCCAGAAAACTATGATAAAGTAACTTATGAAATTAATGTCATAATCACCTCATATCATTATTCACTTTTCATACTTTTCCTAGGAAGAGAACTTTAATTATTAATAAAATATGCCATTCAAAAAGGCAAATTAAAAGAAGTAAAAACAAAATAGATTTTCACTAAATTTTCTTTCAAAACTAGAAAACTATTTTTGAAAATTGCTCTTAAGTTAGCCCCTTTTTATCTTTCAACATATAAAAGGAGACTCATAAGAGAGGTTCTCCTTTCCTTTTGCAATGATGGTAAAGGAATAGCAATAGAATAAGATGAAAATTTATCCTGAAAAGCAAATATATCAAAGTTTTCATGCCTCCGTAAACTCAAATAATTGCTACCTTTGAACATTAATCTACCATCATTTGGACTATCTTCAGCCTTCTTCATCCTCATTCTGCACCTCGTCGTATCGAGCTTGTATAGCAGAAAACGATCCAAACGTCGCCTAATAGTACAAAAATCAAGCTATAAATGAATATTAACAACAAGAACTCATGGTTCTAAATGCAATAACCAACCACATGCTTGAAGTAGTAAACTAACAGAACTGATTCTAGGCTGTCTTCTGTAGCTGAGAGTCAGTTTATACACAAAAACATTGCTAGAATTTACCTCATCCGAGGAAGTGGCAGATATCCCATCATGGAATTTACAAGCCATTACAGAAGAAAAGAAAAAAAGAAGAAAAAAAAAGGAAAGGACTCTGGTAGCTAATTACACTGAGGCAAGGTCCAAAGGCGACCATGGCTTCTTTATAGTTCCAAGTTTTTCAGAGCCTCTGGTATTTTCTCGTTAATAATAGGCTTGATTTCACCATCCTTTTCTCCTCTCTCTGCTGTCTCTATACATTCTGGAAACCTAAAGCAACTGATGAGATGGTCGTTGGTTAACCCTGCCACCTGCATGAATGTATAGATGACTGTCGGTCCCACGCTACGAAACCCTCTCTTAACGAGATCCTTGCTAATCACCTCTGCTTTTGAGGTCTTATCGGGGACCTGGCGTGGGTACCGAAACTGACTGATGATCGGTTTGTGGTTGACAAAGTTCCAAATGTACACGTCGAAGGAACCAAATTCATCGATTACCTGCAGCACAATGGAAAGGAGGCAAATATAAGAGTTAAAGACTTTTCTTCTCTCATCTCTCTCTTCTTAGATTGGTTTGAGAATAGACACATGAGTTCTCAAATAGAGCGCATTTCAGATTCAAATAGACCATATGTCCGTTTTATGCAACATAATGAATAAATAAACAATTTGACTAGAGGAATCTAGCAACTACCTTGCACATTTGACGACCATTTTCAATGATAGCTCGCACCTTAAGTTCTGACAGTAAAGAGGTAGCAGCACTTCCAGCTGCAACCATCTTTTTCTCGTTTAATTTTGAAACAGCATTTGGGTCAAAGTCCAAAAAGATTTCCCTTTAAGTACACACGTTATACAGGGTTATGTCAAAATTCAAAAAACAACGAAATATTGGAAATAGCATAATTATTAGTCAGCAAAAGCCATGTACTATGATAATGTGAAAAAACAATGAACTCGGAAGTAAAGTAATACCTAAATAGATGTCTTTTGTTAAGGATAGCAGGCCATGTAAGTTCAGCCAAAGCACCCGATAGGCAGAGCAGTTCAAACAATTTTCTACAAATGTTCATCTTTTTAAAGTTAAAAATCGAAATAGTTGAATGCAGTTTAGTGCAAGGATTGAAAGAAGAAAATCTGAAACTTCATCACATAGTTACATACTTGTCATCGTGAACAGGTACTCCCCACTCTTCATCATGAAAAGCAGCATAACATGGATCTGGTGCACGAAGAAAAGCAATCATGCTTTAGAGCCTCAACATAACTTGATAAGTCTTAGAAAGATGGAAGTTAAAACTATAAAGTCTGAATGTAAAAGGGAGCATCGAGTAAAGCATATGCCATTTCAGCAGTAACCAGCAACATATTACGTGGTGCACATTACATTTGACATTGCAACCAAATTTGCTCAATACAAAACTAGATACAAAATCCATGGACAAAAAAAAAAAGATAAAAGTGTAAAAGCTGGAATAGTCAATAAGAAGATCGAGACAAGATGAATTCTTTGTTTTGGGGGGGGAAGGGGGATGGACTTATATTAGAGAGAAGATAGAGACAAAGACAAGATAGTAAAATTTACCCTTCTGAGTACAACCTTGACATTGTTAGGCGTTGAGGGAAAATATGTGAATAATTCTCACAAACATAAAATAATTCCCGTATCGTATCTTTTACAACAACTAGAGCCTCTGCTAGTCACGAACTATATTTTGCCAACCATTGTGAACAAATATTGTAATATGATTATATGAAAGCTTGATAAATAAAGGACTTAACAAAGTTTGGAAGATAAAGAAGATTCAGTGTTGATATTACGACCACTCTTCAAAAATGAAAAGGTAACTTACGGCTAAATTACAGTTGAACTAAGACAACAGACAATCTAGAAACACCTAGCACATAAATCAGCCCCTTCAATTATTGATTTCAGTTTGAAATTACCTACAATATATCACATCAGTAAGGATGAAGATAAAAAGTAGAGAAGGGTCACTAGGGTGTGGCAAATTATTCAGCCATCTAATCCATTCCCATAGTTGAGGGATCAAAAAATGATTTTTGGACTATACATTTTGTAACAGTCATGCAAGTGGCAACTACAGTATGGCCGCCATTCCCAATGATTTCTCTTTGAGTGTACAGGGCACAGTCAGTAATAAAGAGCCGTATCAGATAGCAGGAGGTGGAAGAAGAATGAAATGAGAATCGACTACTCCCAGATAAGTGAAAATAAGTGATCAGAATAGCAAATACTCTGCTAGAGTCAACCGCAAATTATGACTCACTAGACCTAAATCGAAGATCTAATTGTACATTGCTTATTCAAACTCAAAATTTTATTACTGCAGTTCTTCATTCCTTCATGTACTTAAACAGAAGATTTCAACTCAACACTGTTCATCTCTGAATAAAGAGCAATGCTGTCAACATAAGAACACCCATTTTCACCTGAACTCATTTAGCTAACAGAAACAAAAGGAAAAAATGGTTCCAGCATAATGAACAAGCAGATTCAAGAAATTTAAACACATTGTACCTGTATTAGGTGTTACCCAAGCACATCGTTTTTTTGGCTCTAAACCAGCAACTGTATCCACCACCACCACCACACTTTCAACGCCAACCTTTTCAACGGCCTTTTCAGCCCTCTTTACCGTACTTTGCTTTCTCCTCAAATTGGGACCGCGCTGCCTCGTACCTCTCGCGCTAGACGCCCGGCTATTGAACGAATCAGACGACGCATCGGAAGAACACGACGCATTCATCGAGAGATTGAGAATCGCCTGGTGGCGGTCCTGCTGCCTCAGAACCGATGGCACCGAGACGCATTGAGGCGGCGACAATGGCACCCTCTTGTCCTTCGATTCAGCCTCCTGGTGAGGCTTTTCAAGCTTCTTCAATGGCTTCCCACCAGGTTTTCTGGGCTCGACAGGTCGGGCTTTGTTTCCGGTAGGCCCAAGAACCGGCCGGGAGTCGGAATCCGCCACATTCATCGACCGGATTCTGGGAGGGCCTGACATATTTCAATGAAAAAATTCGGCAAATTGGGGATTGGATTCAGATTAAAGAAATGAGAAAGAATGGGTGTAGTTCATTGGGTTTGAACAGTAGGGTTTGGGGAGTGAGGTGAGAGAACAGAACCCTAGGTGGGACCGGAAAATGGAGCCACATTGATGAACAAAAAGGAGCTCAAAGCAAAGGGCGAAACACTTATCTGGAAGTGGATGATGAAATTTTCGGAACGGCCATGATTGTGTTTGTGAGTATGAAAATCAAAAGAGAAACAAGAGAGAGAATCTAGAGAGAGAGAGACGGAAAATATGGGAAAGTGGGATAAAATTTTTTCGAGGGTTGAGAGAGAGAGAGACCTTCCTGCTGGAGAAAGCAACGAATCGAGAGAGAGAAATTGAAAATAACAGACCAGTCGTAAACTGCCACGTAGGAATCGGTGGGGTGGGGGGAGCGTTGAGCTGGGTGATATTTGTCTAATTTTATAGAAATAAAATAATACTTAGTTTTGACCCGCGGTTAAAAAAATTAACACTTCATTATTTCCTAAAAACTTATCTACTCTGTAGTTAGCACAAGATAGATCGTCACTCAATGAAACGTATTTTTCTCAAAGAAATAAGTAGATGCTCACCGGCCAGTCTGATGACACTTCAAATTTGGATAACTCTTTGATATTAAAAAAATGCACCCGCAAATATGGTAAAAAAATTTGGTAAATTTAGCAAAATAGTAACTACATTTAGTTTTTTCAAATATAACACTTTCTTGTATATACGGAGGTCTAATTTTAAAATGATAACTTTAATCAAATGATATATATCTATGATATACTACTAATATGAGTGTATATGCAATATGTATAATATATTATTTATATGAGTGTCTGATATACTGTTGATACGAGTATTTGATATAAGTGAAAATTTTTATATATTTGAAAATATTAAAAATAATTCGCATATTTTAAAATACATAAAAGATTTTTGCTACCCACCTAATTTTCCAAAATTTATATTTTCTTGCATTTCTCTCTCATGTCTGTTAAAACTTCAATGGTTATGGGGGAAAATCAAATCACATAAAAGTAATCSGTAGTAATTTGAATTCTTCTAGAAGGTCGTGAGATTTCAATCCGCATGTACTCTAAACTTTGACAAGTTAATCAATTTACACCATGTTTTTATTTGAAATTTGTTAATAATAATTCTTATACATGGATAATCTTTAAGTATAGGATAAATGAAATATTAGAGAGAAATACTAAAATCAAGTGTACCACGACGACGACGACGACAAAAAAAAGAAAGAAAGAGAAGATGAAAAACTGCCCAATGAATTCAATTTTGTTTAATTTAACTTCTTAAATAATTGTCGTCAACTATGAAGTAAATTTTAGTTTAAAGAATAAAAGAAGTAACGTGTTTGGTAAATTAATATCAAACTATTTTTATTTAGCTGTCATGCCCAAATTAATTAGCTGTGTAATGAAGCCAAAATCAACCACTCTTATTTTTAGTGAAGTTTCCTTTTTTCCCTTTCCAGAAAAAAAAAGTATATATTTGCAGGGTGTTTTATTGATATTTAATTTTCACACTTTTTTACAAGATAACTATTCAAAAATTTTATCAATTATATTTTGAATTACTTGATTGGTAAAAACACATTTTTAATTATTTGATAAAGAAATTAAGAAAAAACAATCGTTATAAAAAATTTGTCAAAGCAAAATGTTCATAAAAACTAAGAATATTAAATTAAATTTTTGCTTGACAAAAAAATTCACCATAAGAATTTTTTTAAACAATTGTTTTTCTTTARTTTATAAATAAGAAGTCAAAWCGAACATAACTTAGTGGTAATTGGCATAATCTCCAAAGAAGATGGYGTGCGTTCAATCCCCCACCCCTAGATATTGTACTAAAAAAAATTTATAAATAAGAAACCTAACCAAAATACATGTAAAAGTTCGGGATTAAACTGTTGCCAATTTAAAAGTATAGGAATTAAATTATTACAAATTAAAGTTCATGGACTAAATTTATTATTTTTGTCGATTAAGTTGATGGTTGATCTTTCGATAATAAAGTTGATGGTTGATCTTTTCCCAAATATATGTTAATTAAAAAAATATTTTAGAAAACTAAAAAATTTTATTTTCATCTAAAAATTATATTTACAAAARTAATAAAGCTATCTCGTACATAATTATGGTAATATATCTATATCATATTGTGATATGCTATAATTACATATAATTAAGAATGCTTTAAGAATTCAAAGATACCAATCATCACATTTCATTACATTTTTATTATATCCTAMAAAAATAAATACATTTTTTAAATAATTTATATACATTTTAAATCAATAATATATAATAAGTATCAAACYAGATTACTTATCTTGTCAAATTTAAAGATGAGAGTGTGTGTCTATATATATATATATATATGTATATGCTATGCGACTATTTTGGTTAAAAAACACTTTTGGTCCATTTACGTTAGTTAAAGTAACGATTTAGTCTTTATACTTTCAAATTGGTAACAATTTAGCCACCGAACTTTTACATGTAACAATTTAGTCCTTACAATTTAAAGTTCGTAAAAATTTAGTTTTTATCATGATTTTTTTTGTTTAGTTTATTATATATAGATTGATAAAACTAATACAGGACCAACAATGTTTATTAATTACAAAGATTAAATTGTTATATGATAAAACTTGACACTTAATTTTGATAAGATTTTTCAGGATAGGGACTAAATCGTTGCAAATTTTAAACTATAGAGACTAAATCATTACAAATTAAAGTTCAARGACTAAATCATTGCTAGTAAAAGCTACAAGAACTAAATATATTTTTTACTTGAGATTTAACACGTTTCATTTGAAGATTTACTAAAAATTCAAGTTAAAGTATACATTTTCAAAATTTAGAAATCAAATCAATCTTATTAGGTCCAATGGAATATTTTTCCTTAAAAAGAAAAAACTCTGCAATTATCACTAGTTGATCACAAAATGCATTGATTCAACCATCATAAATCCTAACCCCTTACAACTCAAGAAAGACAGGTCAACTTCATTCAAATTTAACACATCAACCCTTGTACTTTAGTTATTGTTTTAACCAATGTGACCTTATTTTCCCATTTCACCCCGTAAAATTATGTTCCAACCACACACTAAGAGAATATATAGATACGAAAACGACACAAATAATTTATATTGGTTCACAAGAAAGAGTCATGTCCAATATTCTGTGACAAGCGGGTTCTACTATGATAGGTTTGGTACAATGGACATACAACAATCTCTCAATTCTATAGACTTCGACAAAAGTCCCCTAGCTTCTAGGAATTACAACACTACGATCCTAAGAATACATGAATGATAAACCTCACCAAATACTCATGAGAATTAGTTATTGACGATACACTACAACTTGAGATCTCGATCTCCTCCTACTGCCAACTCACTGACTCAGTCACCTCTATTATTGTGCAACTACACAAATCAAATTCTAATACACAGCTTAACAAAACCTAGACGAAAAAACATATTTAAAGAAAAAATATCACATACGCTACGACCATGCAGCGTCAATTGACATTCGCATGCACCTTTTTTTAACCTTCAATTTCATGACAACGCCACATTTTTATGCTCTCGACCAATAAGCCCCTACAACACCCAAACATTTTTTTTAATTTCTTCTTCATTCTCTTCTATTGTTTTGGCTCCATCCATTTCCATTTCTTTTGATGATTTAAGAAATTCGTTAGTGGATGAATTTTTAAACCTATTACCAAAAACTCAGAAGTTAAAAGCATACCTTTTGAGAATTCAAAACTCAAATCAATATTATTGAGAACTCAAGAACCCTTTTCCTTAAAAGAAAAAACTTTGCAATTATCACTAGTTGATCACAAAATGCATTTATTCAACCATCAAACCCTAATACCTTACAACTCAAGAAAGACATATCAACTTCATTCAAATTTCACACCTCAACCATTACACTTTAGTCATTGTTTTAACCCATGTGACCTTACTGTTTGACTAGATTTATTGTCCTACCCAATCTCACAAAATCTAATTTTGCTAATTACTCATTATAGAATCATGTTTAATCCATATCTTTTAGTTAAATTATATATTTAATCCCAAAATTTTAAGAATGGTGTTTAACATATCCATGAATTAAAAAAAAACAAAATCTAATAAAATTCATCTGACTTTTATTCAGATGTTTAGTCTAATATATCAACAATATATGATTTCTGCTATTCACCGGATAAAATTTTAAAATGTTACGGGTAGAATATTTAATACAATTTTAGTCTCTAAATTTGATGACAGGTTTTTATTTAATCATTAAATTCTCCCTTGAGGATATGTTTCTAAAGATGGGGATCAAATTGTAGCTTTAGAGATTAAAAAAAAAAAAAAAAAAATCGGCAGAGGGGTGGAAGTGCAAAGTCTTATCCAACCTTCTTCCACACATTCTGAAGATCACATGGCCTGATAGCAAACGGTATGGAAATTCAATTCAAACCCACCAAAAAGCTTACTCAGAAGAGCTACAATCCATGGCCATGGCTACTTCTTCTCTACCCACCAAATCCCTCCCGCCATTTCTCCCAAGCTCAGCCTCCCCACCTTCTTCTCCTTCAACCCACTTCACCAAGCCGCTCTTTCTAGCCCCACCCGACATTTCTCCTCTCTCCACTACCCCATCACCACCAAAATCTCACATCCCCACTGCCAAAAAGAACCCATGGTTCGATCCTTTCGACGACGGAGACGATCCGGACATGGAATACGGCTCTCTCTTCGCCGACGGCAAGCAGGAGGAGGACCCTCGGCCGCCCGACAACCCCAATAATCCCTATGGGTTCTTGAAATTTCCTCAGGGCTACATGGTGGAGATCGCTTCTCTGGGTCTGAAACTCCGGGGAGATGTCCGGCGGTGCTGCTGCGTGATCTCCGGCGGCGTCTACGAGAACTTACTCTTCTTTCCGGCCATTCAATTGCTCAAGGATCGGTACCCGGGAGTCCAGATAGACGTGGTGGCTTCGGCCAGGGGAAAACAGACTTATGAACTAAACAAGAATGTGAGATGGTCTAATGTCTACGACCCGGATGATTATTTTCCTGAACCAGCAGAGTACACTGACATGGTTGGATTGCTCAAGGTTGGTTCATCTCCTCTGCAACATCTGACCTTGAAAATTGAAATTGAAGCCGGGTTCTAGGGATTGAGCTTCTTTAACTTAGATATTAATGGACATTAATGGCTTTTTTCTTTTCCTCTGACTCCTGTCTTGTGATGGTCGAAGAAATTAGAAAAATTTCAGTACAATGGTAGCATGTTAAATCACAGATGGACCCAAAAGCGCTCTAATACAATTTTAAACATGATAAAATTACCAATGAATCCAAAAACTTAAGTTGATAGCTTAAAATAATGAAAATACTTTCATGTCAATAGCATTCAAGAGAGGTGTGGGGTTCCTTAAATAAAATAACACATTACTTGACGAGGATGTGTCAAATTGTGAATGGAAAGAATATGTATTACTGTAGTACTAGAAAATTTCTCAAGGAAATTGGGACTGATTTGAGTGCTGCAACTTGTTTTTGTTGCAGAGTAGGTACTATGACATGGTCTTGTCAACCAAGCTAGCAGGGGTTGGGCATGCAGTGTTTTTGTTTATGACAACAGCCAGAGATAGAGTGAGCTACATTTACCCAGATGTGAATGCTGCTGGAGCAGGGCTTTTCTTGTCTGAAACATTTAAACCAGATAGCTCCAATCTTTCTGAGGGAGGGTTCAACATGTGAGGATATTTTATGTTTTTGCTAAGAATTCATCAAAAAGAATCTTATATACTCTTTCCCTCTTAGTTGCAGATGCCCATGCTTTGATTCGAAAGCCCTCGCCTGAATCCATCAATTTAAGTTTTTGGGTGATTTAATATGCTTAAGATGGTAACCATTATGGGATGACCTAGTGGTCAATAAGGGCCAATGTAAATAGCAAAGGGCTTAGAGGGAAGGCCGCAAGCTGGCCGGACACATGGATATAAAAAAAAAAAACAAAAAAAAAATGCTTAAGATGGTATCAGGAGGTTCTGTGTTCGAACCCTTGGGTTGTCATCTCCTTCTCGTTTAATATTGATTTCGACTTGTTGGGCCTTTTGCAAATTTTCAAGCCCACAAATGAGAGGAGTATTAGATATCTTATGAATGATTAAATTTACCCTAAATTTAAACTTTTAGGTTCATTAGGTGATTTAACATTTAACATATTTGATGTTAGTTTTATATAGTATAAAGTAATTCTTTGTGATGTCATTTTCTTTCCAATTAATATTGATAGTTGGTATCATGATAATTTTCAAACTCATGAAGGAGGGCAACGATAATGCGTATAAAAGATCAAATATACCGTAACTTATTGGTATAAGCTTTTAGGTTTGGTATATACCAAGTTTTTAGGTTTAGTGCATAGTTTAAAGTTCTAAATTCATAAACATTAGATTATTCGTCTAATCTTACTTGATATGTGGAGTACGTTTTACCAGTAAATGAGTGAGGTACGGCTTTTATCATGATAACAAGAAGTAGTTTCTAAGTGAAAAGTTAAAACTGAAGAACTAAAGAGAAATAGCTAGCTCAAATTATTACTTCTTTTCATGTCTTGAAGGCTAATTTCCATGATTTAGGTATCATCAAATGGTTGATTGGTTGGGGAGGCCATTTCGCAGCGTTCCTAGGCATCCTGTTCCTCCGCTCAAAGTTTTGATTTCGAGAAAACTGAAGGAGGTTGTAGAGGAGAAGTATAAGAAAGCAGGTGCTGAGAAAGGAAAATATATTGTGATTCATGGGATCGAATCAGATTCCAAAGCCTCAATGCAGTCCAAAGGTGATACTGATAGCTTGCTGCCCATTCAAGCCTGGGCTGAAATAGCCAGTACTATAAGGTAGATATTATGTCAGTTCCTTACTTATAACCTGAAGGTAATTAAAAGTAACATGATTCTGCTTCTCCTTTCACTCTTTTTCTGATGATAACACTTTGTTATTGAATCTAAAAACAGGGGATTCAAACCAGTTTTTGTCATCCCACATGAAAAAGAAAGAGAGAATGTCGAGGAAGAGGTCGGGGATGATGCTGGCATCTTATTTATCACAACCCCGGGACAGGTATTGATGATGATCCATCATCTTCTTTAAGTATCAAAAAAGATGGATGCAGAAGAACGATCTTGAATAAGAAAGAAAGGGAATTAACACCTAACAGTTAAATCAGTTGATGAAAGTCAATGATCTCACCACACCATTCTTAACTGCCATCTGCAGCTAGCTGCTCTCATTAACGACTCGGCTGGTCTAATAGCCACCAACACAGCTGCTATCCAACTCGCCATTGCTCGCGAAAAACCGAGGTCTTGATTTGTTTCTCTTTCACATGAACTCAGTAGTTTGCTTCCTGACCTTAAAATCTTCCATTTGCTAGAAGTTTAAAAAGGAACTGTCCTTGACATGTGTCTGTGGTGCCATTCTGTTTGCAGCATTGCTTTGTTTTCCTCTGATGAGAAAGCAAAACTATTTGTTCCCGATGCCGAGTCAAAGAGATGCATCACGGTTTCATCAGCGACAGGACGACTAATCGACATCGATATGGGCACGGTTAAAAGGGCCATACAGAGTTTTGAAGTGCCTCTAGCTCTTGCTTTTTAGTGAGTTGACATCATAGATTTCTGTTTATATCATCTTGATGGTGTTCTTTCATTTTGTTCCCCTTCTGTTACCATCAGTTGTAACTGTATATCAAAGCATTGAAGAAGAGAGGTAATTGTATATGTTCTGTTTGGTCAAAGTTATTTTTCTTTGATTTCTTTTACCTTGCTTTCAAGAATTACTGAAATTGTTATTCATTTGAAAATAACAAGTCTACAAATAATTTCAACTTAGCTTGAAAATTAGAAGCACTAATCACTTTTTTTCTCAAAAAAAAAAAAAAAAAAATCTACCAAAAACTGGCAGCCAAATGGTCCCTATATTTTTACATTTTAAAAGCAAACTTACAATGGTACTATATTTTACATATATATTATACTTGAGTTATACTTCTATTAACTAATAAATTTTATAGAACATTTTTTATAGTACATTAAATATAGGGTGTGTTGTGTGCGGGGATTTACATCTCCGACTTCAACAAAAAGAGATATATGTTTTTACTGTCGAGTTATGTTCATGTTAGATATCTAATAACTTCTTAAAATTAAAAAGGGAAGTTCATAAAAATAGGACAGGATAATACAATATCAATATTTAATTTTTAAACGAGTAAAGTTTGATTAATTTTTGATGTATTATCAATAATATAATACATTTCTATATATTAGATAAAATGTTAATATTATAGATATTCTTAAAAAATCATGGCAATAAAAATATTTATATTAAAAATTAAATTAATAAACAAGTATTTTATACCTTTTAGATAGTTAAAAATCTCTATTATTGGAATTTATATTTATGATATTTTATGTTAACATTATATATTATTATATGTCAAATTACAATCAAAGGTCAGGATGGCCGAGTGGTCTAAGGCGCCAGACTCAAGTTCTGGTCTTCGTGAGAGGGCGTGGGTTCAAATCCCACTTCTGACATTTTTAAATATAGTTTATTAATTGTTTGAAATATATTTTAAAATAAAAAATAGTCAATTCCGGTCCGTGTCTCAATTGCAATTTCGAGAAGTTGAAGGGGTCAATGCAAATATTTGAGAATGTAGGAGGACCCGCGCGAAAGTCGTAGACTGCTTGCTGTCTTCAAGTTCGTTATCATCTCATCCAAACGACCGGCGACTGAACTTCAACTGAGAACTCTTAGAGCTTAGCCATGGCGATCATGGCGTTTCTCTCCTCACCACTGCACAGTCCCTCTCTAATCCGAAACAAATTTCTCCTCTCTCCACTTTCTTCTTCTTCCTTCAGTGCTCTACGGCGTTGTACTCCATCCAGTTTATCTGCCGCTCAAACTTTCGCGAGTTCGAGATTTTGCTTTAGGATACACTGCACTGATAAAGAACGAGCTGCACCGGTTACTCAGCGTTCCGATCCTAAGGCTGGAGTCCCGGTTTATAAGCCTAAAACCTACGAGGTTCTAGTCTCCGATGCCGCGAATTCGCTTGCCTATGCTCTGGAAGATGGAAAGATCCGCGTGGAGATTGATTTTCCGTAATATCTCGCTTTCTATATGAATATTGATGGTTTCTTTAAATTCTTGCATTGTGGCGTTTGGTTGGGATGGAGCTGAGAGGAAAATATTGTGGGATTTGAAGTGACAAAATTATTGATTTTCAGCACTATCTTGCTCTTTCTTGTGAGAGATACTACTCATTCCGACAATCTTTTACTTAGCATTAGGGTTAATACTACCATGCAGTACGTTTGTCTTCGTTTCTTTCAATCCCCCCGCCCCGAGTATTGCTAATCGGTGCATTTGGTAAAGTAATCTGGTGGATTCTATTTTGGGGTTTTCTTTTCGCAGAGAAATTGAATGTGGTAATTAAGATTCTTAGCGTAGTCTGTATAAGTGAATTGGTTTTTAATGTCTTTGAAGCTTACAAGAAAGTAACAATATCCTTCGCTCTAGCGTCGAAACGTAGTTTATTCTGGAATGTAAGGTTCAAATTTCTGTGTGTAAATTTTAGTTTGAGAATTTATTAGTCATTTGAGTGGATTTTTCATTATTTTCTAACCCTTGTTTTATTATTTCGTTTTTTTTTTGTCTGGTGGGGTTTCCTACATTCATCAGTCCCCTGCCTAGCAACATTTCCTCGTATAAGGTATCTTTCTCCTACATGTTTTTAATGAAATTCGTTGCTCATAACGTTATCTTTTCTTTCTTTCATTTATGAAAATATTCTCCATCTAGGCATTTTTTGCTTACATATATAAACGACCTCAACGTGTTGCAGATTATCATTTGAATCATGTAGTTTAGATTTTTGCATATTATGTATTGTTGATACCGCATTCTTTTTTGTGTTGAGGATATTTATACGTACGTAAAGGGATCCTTAGATGATTTCATTGATGCAAATAATCAGCTTGCAACGAACCTCAAAGAAAAGAAGGGAAACCAGATCTGATTGCATATTTACTTATTTAGTAGCTAATCGTGAATTTAACAACCTAGCAGCTCATACTGTCTGTTGTTGTTGACCTGAATTCATGAACTCAGTCAACATAGGGCCATTTTATAATGTGTCCAAAGAATTTATGTTTGCATATTTCTCGTGTGAGCAAGTTGTGAACATAAAATATAATATTCCTTGCTGCGAAAACAGCTGAAATGAATTTTGGGAGTAAAAGGTTACCATTAAATGAAATTCTCACCTGAGATTTGACAGTTGATGTGTTGGTGGTTACATTCCAAGCCATGTTAGTTTAGGTTCTTTTCTATATTCTGGATTGTTGATAGCACATGTTCATTTGATTTGAGGATATTTCTAAATATGTCAAGGGATCTTCAGATGAGTTCATCGATGCCAATATTCAACTTGCCCTGGCTGTTGCAAGGAATCTTCAAGAAAATAGAGGAACTAGATCTTGCATTGTAAGCAATTATATAAATTTGTATTACCAGCAAACCTCTTCTCAAGTATGTGCAGCCGTTAAAATCTCGTGTGATGACATTAGGTGTTTCCAGATAAGCCAGAGAAGCGTAGAGCTTCACAGCTATTCAAAACAGCTCTTGACTCGGTAACAAGTTAACTATTATAAACTTGTATTTATTTTTTGTCTAATGCAGATCACAACTGCTTGACTTTTTTTGGTAAGAAGCAAAACATTTCGTTAACAATAGAAGAGTACCAAAAGTGAGGGAAGATGAAAACCAAGTGAAGATATTATAATTTATAGCGATGGTTGGCAATTATGAAGTAGGAGAAATAATTATGGAGGTCTGGAGGATTTGGAAATAGCACTCCAAGAAGAGGGACATCACAAGATCTGCAAAAAAACCTATCTACTCCATCAAAAATTCTTCTATTTGTCTCAAGTCAAACCTTCCAAAAGACAGTGAAAAAAGCATCCATCCCAAAGCCACAACTGCTTCATTTAAGGGCTTTTTTATTTGTTCACACCATTATGGGGCCCTTTATTAGTTTGTGGCTTCGGCCATAAAGAAAAGGCAAAAGTCTAATGTTTCAGCTTAGATATTACGAGAAACATTTAGTGAATAAAGGCGAGCAGTGTTGAATACTATCAGAGGTACTTAGATCAGGTCATGAATTCAAAATTGATGCCACTTACTTTGGATGTTCTAGCTACCAAATATTTTATAGATCGGTAGTGTATTTTAGATATAAATAAATAAATTTGTGATATCTGATGATGCACCATTATTACTGGTAATAAATGATGTGGTTAATCAATAGCATGCTTATCCAGACAATTTAGATCTTGGTCTCCATTTTATGTGCTCATTTGATATTATTTTTCCCTTCTGATCGTTCAGATTGATGGAATAACTGTAAGTTCCCTGGATGATGTGCCTGCTGGACCTGTCACATCCTTCTTTAGATCTGTTAGAAACACCCTTGATTTTGATTTTGAAGATGAGAATGCAGGTTGGTTATATACACATGGGTCTAACAGATCCCTTGATTTTGATCTGTTAGAAACATTCTTGTCTTCTCTCTCTTTTTTATTTTTTATTTTTTATTTTGTGCGTGTCATGGCCGTATATTTCGCTACTAAATGCATTGTGCAAATATATGACATATCTTAATGACCTGAACCATTACGGCAAGACTGCAATTTATATTCATAGACAGTAATAAACTTGATGCAGAAAAGTGAAATGACAGGAAAAAGAAGAAAGAGTCAAAGGGAAAGAAAAGAAGGACTGACTAGAAAAGAAAAGAGTGATTAACTTGATTTAATCATTATATGAGGAAACTGTTTAGAAACTTAAAGGACCTGCCTCTTCCTATGTATTCCACTTCACTTTTGTGGATATAAACTTGTTTTTTCTTCTTCAATCATATGTTTTTTTCCTTCAGTCCTATGTTATATGTTATATTGTTATCTTTTATTTCATTACCTGCTTCTTTCTAAGATTACCATTATCATTTAATGATTTCTCACTCTTTACAATCCATCTGAATCACAGGTCGTTGGACATCTACTGACCCTCCATCACTGTACATATTTATTAATTGTAGCACGCGTGAACTTGCTTTGATAGAGAAGTATGTGGTATGATGTCTATGATAATTGCAAGATAGCAACTTTTGAACCCGTTGCCTACCTTGATTTAGCTTCTGACTAAAAGTTACATCTTTTTCTTCTCAAAATGGTTATAATGTTCTCATTTCAGTTTGTCTTCTCGAGCACAAATTATTAAAAAATTAAAAAAAAATCTGAAAATTTATTCCTCCTACTGATTATGATTCAGCTATCTACTGAATACTGATATTGTGGAGGACAGAACTGTTTGTGCCATCATGCCATTCTTCATGGTGGCATCGATGGTTATATAATACCTTTTGTCTTTCTTTCTGAGCAACTTGCATATTGGGGTGTGGAAGTACTAATTAAGATCTATTCATGACTTTCTAAGTGGCATTTCCACACACAATACGTTATGTTTTAAAGTTAATTTCACGTGGCTTATTGCAATTGGTTTCTGTCTTTACACCATTAGGTGACTCATTTTGGGATGTGCAGGAAACTTTTGCTTCGTCAACACCCACCCTGCTTTTTAATCTAGAACTTGAAACCTTGCGGTAATGGTCCTCCTTCTCATCCATTATTGATAGATATTGGGTTCATATTTGCAACTACTGATCAGAAGTTTCAAAATTCACAGTGCAGACTTGGGCTTACTGGGATTCCCTCCCAAAGATTTGCACCATCGATTTCTCTCTCAGTTCATCCCAGTGTTCTATATTCGAATCAGAGAGTACTCTAAGGTTTTGGATCTCATCTTGGTATCCTTGTTTAATTATATTCTTATATTTGTTGACTAAATTCTCTACTCTTTGTTCTCTTTGGGGGGAGGGGTACCAAGACAGTAGCAATAGCACCTTATATTGTTAATTACAGTGGAGCACTGTTTCGTCTATACCCTGGTGTGTATACTATTTTATCGAACTGCCTGTTAGAGAATTTTGTTCTTTGGTTTTCTCGATGTCTTTATCGGTCCTAAATCAGTTCACTGCACACTTAAGTTTTAGTAGCTAATCTTTTCCACTCTGGATTTTCACATAAAAATCTGTTCTCATGGATATGGATTATGGAACATGTGATCTTTATATCTCTATATCTTTTCATCCTTCATAATAGGGCCTTGGCAAGTGATGCTAAAACAAGCAGATAATTCTTATGCTTGCATTGCAGAGAGTGAGACAAGGTTCACCCTTGGTGAAGTATGTATAGAAACAGCAGTACTTTTAGTTTTAGCTATTAACCATTTGTCTGATGTTTTTGGACTAACTGTTGCTTGTTATTTAGACAAAAGATGAGCTATTAAGGGTCCTTGGACTACAGGAGGAACAAGGAAGCTCATTAGAATTTCTCCGCAGAGGCTACAAGGTTTCCTTTCGATATTTGTCTTATACCTATATGGTGTTAACTTATTGCTAATGTTAATCTTCATGCACATTTGATGCCCATTTTGTTTTTTTATTTATGTTTTTGAAAATTAAGCTTATAAATACTACTATCACCTCCGAGTTTCTTTGGTTCGTTATCTACCATTTTTTAATATTTTTGTAATCTAAGCCAAAGTTTGAAAAGTAACAAAAATAGCTTTTAAAAACGTTTTGAAATTTGGCTTAGAACTCAAATGTGTTTAAGTTGTGAGGAAGCAAACATAACTTTTAAAAACAGAAAACTAAGAACGAAATTATTATCAAACCAATGGAGCTAACCTACCAGCAGTTTAAGGAGAAATCTGCACATCCTATTTTGCTGTCTATGTTTTTTATTCAGTTATATGTGCATTCTTTTAGTAAAATAATCCTTAAACTGTGGCAGGCTTTGTTGGAGATAGTTTTGTAACTCATGATATCTCCTTTTGCAGGCTGCCACTTGGTGGGAAGAAGATGTTGACTCTGAACTATCTTCGGCATGGCGTAGTTGAGCAGCTCGAGGGTGGATTTATCTTTCATAAAACACTTACATCTTCATCGGGAAACACGCGTCGATGACCCTGAACATGAGATATCAATCACGTTTCCTTGTTCTATCAGATGGCCTCTTTCTAAGACTCTCATGGCTTTCTCTTGAACAGTCACTGCAGGGAAACTTCTATCTTAAAACTACATCTCTATTCAATCCACCTGCTTCAGAAGACTGACACAAACTTGAATTCAAGTCATCCTCCCCTGGAATTCAAGGTAAAATAATCTTGTACATTTTCTTAGTCGTAATGAATTTCGTTGTGTTATTCGTCATCGAGACGGGTTTGATTTTCCTTCACCATATTATGCTTGAAAAGTACAAATCAGGCCTTTTGGAGGGTTTGATCTTAGTCAAAGAACCACGTTATTCAACTGAATGAAATGATAATATATACAATCATTTAACTTTTTTTTTTGGATTTGAACCTCTCGTTTTTAAGAAGATAAAGTAATAGTTATGCTGATGTCTTCTAAACTAATTGTTCCAGGCTAATTTTTGTTTATGAATTTTACATTCAATCACTAATTAACTTCTATCTATGATTAATTTACTGGTATCAATCATAGATTTACTGCTCTACACATTGATTAACTATTTTTTATATTTAAAAAGTAAAAATATAACTAAATACATGATATCATCTGTTAATCTGTTATTATTCGCTAATGTAGTCTTATTTATCTACGACATCAACTAGATTATGATATATCATTAATCAACTAATAACGTCTTCTCAAAAAAAAAAACTAATTCACATATATCGAGTCAGTTAAGTAATATATTTTTGGCAACCAATTTTAATTATATTAAATATCTAATTAACAAATAAATGCAGAATATATGGCCAGGATGGTAAAGTGGTCTAAGGCACCATACTCTAGTTCTGGTTCGGGTGAGAGCACTGGATTCAAATACCACTGACATTTTTTTTTGGTAAAAAAGAAAAAGAGAAAATGCAGACTTTGTTATTAATTAAAAAAAAAGACCAATATAATAATAATAATTATTATTATTTTGTTGAATAAGTAATGAGATGGTTTGGGCGTATATGGATCGGGATATTTAAATTTAGGTATGTGAAATGTCTCCTTTTAAAATTTTAATAATTTTCCACAAATTTATTTTAATCAATAAATAATCAACTACAACATCCCTTCAATTCATCTTATAAAAGTTTTTTTTTTTAAATACAACTGGAGACAGAGATTTGAACTTACGAACTTTTAGTTGAAGATCGATGCTTAACTAGTTGAAATTCGCTTAGGTTAAGTCAAATAATAATTGATTTAACGTTAATAAAAAGTCACAAATAATTAAATTATTATAACATGAGATAGACTAAATTGACATATTCAAAATTTTTCCTATGCTATGAATATTGGGATACAAAATCGCATCTGGGTACCAGACTAATTTAGGAACACACCAGCACATAAATGAATCACTAAGGACTGGATAATAATTTTCTCAACTATGAAATTTGAACAAAGTCAATTCATAGATCAGTTCACAGCTAGTATCTTACAAATTGTCTCTCATCCTTCTCGACATTGTCATTCCTCCCATAAGGTTGCTTTCACTGAACCTATTCCTGTCGTTCCCTTCGACTTTATGCGTTTTCTTCCTGAATTTCGAGGCACTGCTGTCAATGCTAAGGTTCACCTTTGGAGGGTTGGAAAAGCAGAAGGAAGCTGCAATAGCCTGTCGTGTTCACATACAATTTTAAGGTGACAAGTGAACATACACCAAATTCCAGATTTTACTAGTGATGTACATACAAACACAGATTACTTCAATAAGCATGCATGCCAAGATTTCACCACTGAATCCTGACTGGAAATTGTAATGGAATATATGACAAGAAATTAATCAGTACCTGCAGATCGAGGCGGTGAACATTAAAAATGTCTTTCATGGAGTGTGAATTGTAAGATAATAAATAGGATCTGTAAGCATCCTTGGCCGACTTGTTCAAATAATAGTTACTGCCTACAAGCTTCTCCTGCATCATTCAAGATAGTCCACGATTAGAATCAATGGAATCACAGGATTAGTTGTTTGATATTTCATATGAGTTTGTGGCTGAAAGAGGATAAAAAGAACCTATCAGATGAGACTGCACGTTGGCTAGTTTCTTGTCACTGAACTCATACTCTTTGACGGGAACTTTTGCTGCCTGACAATTAAACGTGAAGAATACTTGAGATTATAAAGGGCAGAATGTTAGTGAAACCATTTTAATCCCCCACATGAAAACAAGTCCCTATGAACAATCGAGCTCGGTTAAAGAGCACGAGTTTAAAATATCATGCTTGACATTAACAAAACTATGGACTTCTGAGTCTTGTTTGTTTCTGCCCTTCCTCAGATAATACTTAACCCTTCAGAAGAAGGTAACATGACACCAACAGTGCATACAATTCAACATAAATTTTTAGGGCAAATACCGGACCTTCAGATAGCGAAGAAATTGAAGCTCTTCGGGAATCAAGAAAAGTAGGGCATTTCCTTTGCTACCTTCACCTCTAGCTGTTCGACCAACTCTGTGAATATATTCCTAAAAGAAATAAATGTAAGTGAATTACAAGGATACTAAATGAGATGTGAACGCAATTAAGGAGTAGCACGCACCTTGGGTTCATCTGGAGGATCATATTGCACAATCCAATCCTGCGAAATACAAAGGGCAAACATTGAAGCACACATATTGAGTTAAATGGTTTTGATACATGTAACACCATTATTATGCTTTGTCTCAGTAATTTTAAGAAGAGCATTTTTCAATACGATGATCCACTATGAAAGCAGATTCTAGATGCCAGCTATGAAGTAAATACAAATGTTATCTAATCTATAATAATTGAAATCTTTAAACAAATTTAGTTCTTTTCTTCATTTTTTCAGGGTTATGCTAACGGAATAGAAGCTCATTTAATGAGATCCAAACGGTGGTGTGTATGAACACTTCCACTATCCAAGAACCTCAAAGCTAAAATATAGTCCCGCGTATCAAGCCAAAAATATAAGAAGAACGTGGCACAGTGTAGCTATTTCCATCCAATCACGTACGAAAAATAACTGTTATCATGATTTGTAAGATAATATAAACACCAAGGTAATACGACTTTAATTATTTCCATTTTTTTACGGTTTTTTTTCCGCTTGTTTAATTGTTTTCATTTGGAGAAATGCATTGACAAAACTAAAAGTTAAGATAACTTACGACAGCAGGAATGTCAAGTCCACGTGCAGCAACATCAGTACATAGTAGGATCCCTGTCTCAGCCTTGTTGAAGGCAAAGAAGGTAGAAGTTCTCTTCTGCTGCTTTTGCTTTCCATGAATATCCAAGCAATCGACCTTAATGTATCTAAGAAGGTCGGCGTGAAACTTTACCGAGTTACAAGACGAGAAGAAGACCATAACTTTCTTAGATAAATTTCTCTTCAAGAAGGAATATAGAAGAATGAATCTTTTAGCACTGGGCACAACACAATAACCTTGTTGCAGCCCCTCATTGGTGACCTACAACAACAGATATAGATATGTCATACAATAAACCAAACGCAGGGAAAAATATACAATATAAATATATATGTAACAGTAGATTATTTTACCTTTGTTCTCCCATCGTCCACATCAATATAAATAGGAGTTGACTGAAATGACAAGCGGACAAGATCTTCGACCTGTTTTTTTTTTTTTTCGGAGGATCAGTGGGGAGGGAGTAAACTGATATCAATCAACATGAACAAAGAAATAGAAGTTCATAAAGTGATAATAGTATATACAGCGATGGTAGAAAAGAAGAAAGAAGAAAACACAAGGGGATAAGAACTAAGAAGTATAAGAGTTGAATGCAATACACAAACCTTTTGTGTTTGGGTTGCTGAGAACAAAGCAGTCTGCCTATTCTGCAAGTTAGATGCAAATTACACTACAATAAGATTACACATTACATTCACAAGGAAAATAATGACCACCACCATAAATAATAATATTAACAATAACGCACCCCTACCCTAACTACTTCAACCCCATTTGCTAAGGCATAAGAGGTTATCTGGCAACATGTAATAATTAACACTACAGTTTTGAAAAAAAAAAAACTGAATTATAATATCGCAAAAGGCAGCAACTACGATCAATTTCACCTTTGGTAGGATCTTTATAATTTGTTTCATTTCCTCCTCAAAATTGGTTTCCAATATCCTGTCTGCTTCATCAATTATGAGGCACTGCAGTTGAAGTTCAGAGGGAAAAGAATGTCATGACACGTTTATAAGATTCAGGATGACGTACAAGTAAATAACCAAACATTTCCTGAGTGACAATATGGGAATTCAAGTCACTAAGAATAGAAATGAAAATTTGACATTCTTTACCCGTTAATCATAAAACCCGATTTAATTGATATATGAGCCTATTATCAATGAAATAGTTTCTTTTCCAAAAAACCGAGGTTAAAAGAAACAAGAAATAACAGAGCACATGAGAAGCGGACAATATTTTGGAAGCAACAAGGCCATAACACTAATTTTTTATATACATCAATAATCCATTCTTTCCACAGTAGAAGATGAAAATATTTTCACCAAAATACATCAATAGTACCAGGAAAATGAGAAATAGATCACATCACCTTCAAATTCTTATATACAAAATTCTTGGTATGTTGAAGATGGTCAAGAAGTCGACCAGGGGTTGCAACTAATAGATTGACTCCCTTTGTAATACGATCAGCCTCAGCTTGTCTGCTAGAACCACCGGTAACAAGGCCAAGTGTCTGTGAATGATATTTGAGAAGCTCTTTTGCCACATCATGTGTCTGAATCATTAAAAATGGTCGGTCAGTAACAATATCAAGAGATGAGATGGAAGGTTGAAGGGAAACAACAAGAAAAAGGTTCTTAATGATCAAGCTTCTTCCATGGAAATTTCTATCCTCCACACTAGTGGAACACCCCTTCAACAGTGAAGCAAAAACCCTGTGGAAGCATTTTGTTAGGGCTCTGCTCTGGTCGACATGGTTGGAAAGAAACCGCCGGATTTTCCATGGAAGGGAGCAACCTACTGGCAGTCTTTTTGAATCTATAGTGTCTTTGGTTGTTTCATGGTGCAAATGTTCCCCATCTTTAAGCACTATAGCTTTGTCTCTCTATTAACCAATTGGAGAGCTTTTTTGTAACTCCATTGGTTTGAGATCTTCCCCTTTTGTACATCTATTCTATTTCATTACATTAATGAAATCTGTTTCTTCTCAAAAAAAAAAAAATGATCAAGCTTCTTCTTGTGAGTACTAAAAGCACGTTTGACTTTGCTTTTTTGGGCAATCCTTTTAGCATAGAAACATCCTTTTTTTTCCCTTTTTTGTTCTAAGAGGGGCATTCATAATATTCTTCAATGGATTTTATTTTTGT